TATGATGCATTTTAGAGATATCAGTACGCACAGGTATGAAGCAAGAATACACTTCTAAAATATTGAAAAAACGATGATGATAATCAATAAGAAGTTAAAAAAGGAACGTAGTGAACTACTATTTACTTAATCTCTACATATTTTCCCTTGATTTACTTTATAATAAGACTTGAGTAATAAAATATACTTTTTTTTAATACTTAACCATATTTGTAGATCGCTGTCTTGCTGCAAAGCGGAATAACTCCCGTTGTTTTTTCTTGAACTGTCAAGTTGTCAAACCTATTTATGATATATCCAAAGGAATAACTACTCCCACCGTTAAGGGCACACTCTTTTCACACTTTGGAAGAGACTTTTTCTACGTCTCATATTTATTGGGTTTTTTTCAAACATCGGCGTTACTTCTTTCTGATGACTAAAATAACTGAATAGATGCATAATATATCTATGTTAACAAAAGGAACTTAAACTAAAAATAAGGGTATCGTCCTGGAAACAAACTGGCACATTACTTACCTAATTCCGGAAAATTTAAGGTTTATGATTTATTTCTAAAATTCAACGAGGAAATGACAGATATATTACTTATTACGTGTATCAAGGTGATATTCAGTTCATAATTATTTGTTTTATTATTAAACATTTTTTTTTTAATCCCCCCTCTCATTATTAGGTACACATGCATACATTTTCAGCAATATCGACCACTGAGATGTACGTGTTGCAAGGGAGATAGTTATACACATGAAAATATATTTCATTGAAGTAACGTGTAAATAATTTGATAAAGTCTAATTAATTTGTCAATATCTGTTGATTATTTCATTGTTTGATCTTAGTCTGGAAATAATGAAATTTATCTTATATTCAATAATAGTTTACAACATGTTATAAATTAGAACAAATCGTTAATTATTTCCTCTTCGAATAGTGTTGCTATATATCTCTGTTATAGTAAAACAATGAAATAGCAAACAACGGAACAAGTTGTCTTAATAAAACATGTATAGTTTTATTTGAGCTCATCAGATATTGGGCATATTTCTATTTTTTATTTTTTATTATCTATAATAAGTTTGCTTAAGATTTTGTTGGTTTTATTGGTTTATTGTTTAACATTCATTGGCGGTCTTTTTGATAACTTCTTTGCGATAGTTACAATGTATTATGTTATTCGTTAGTATGCATACTCTGAATATTATTATCATCGGAGGTAACATTGAATTTGCTTTAAACAAGATATTTATGAAACCATTCGGTCCTACATTGTACATCTCTTCGGTTCTTATATTTTAGCATCGCGCAAGGTTATGCTCCTTTGTTCCCAGACTGTTTACGACGTCTTTACAATATACCAGAATACTGTACAACCAGTACCCTCTAGTTGTGTATATCCTCGTCCATTGGTCTCTGGTCTTTGGTATTCAGACATTTCCTTTCTTCAGTTTATAAAGCATTGAATAAAACGTTTCTATGGCAACTATTGTGCTTTTTTCGAAAATGTAATTAACACGAGCGTGTAAAAAGCAAAATGTGTTAATTTATAATTTAGATTGTAGATCTGAAGAAACGATATGTTCTTATTTGAAAATATACATATCTTGATCTCCCCTGTGGTTCTATAAATATTTGTATTTTTATTCGGTATTTTGTAAAGATGACAGTATTTGTTAGATTTTTTACCAGTCAAAGTCTATAATTTTATCATATTAACCAACATTTGTATTCTAAGATGCAAACATTTAGTGTTCTCGACATCTACAAAATGGCGCAAACCGTTTCTATGGACTGTTTTGAACTTGCAGTGAGGTAAGAGCTTTTGCTCCGTGTAGAAGCTCTCACTTTGACTTTAAAGACAGCGGTGCAAGCTCTGTTTCTTTGATTTTTTCAAGTTCAAGGATGGATTTTTGACAGAAATTAAAGGTTAATCGATGTTATGTCATTTACGCTGTACAACAGTTTGTAAAAAGCGTATCAAATATACCTGGATTATAATTTAGTACGACAGAAGCGCATTTCTAGTATTTCAAGTTATTTTAACATTCTATAAAGGACAACCTGCTAAACCATGTTTTCCGGGGCCGAGGAGAAAGATAAGAAAACTTAGTAATGATAAAAGATAACATTCGAAGAAATATCTCATGGCTGGGAAAAAGATAAATAACAGTCCACAATACACACTTATATTGCGCACATCTTATATGAACCCAACCAAAAACCGAGGTTGTACTTTATTCTTATTTTTGTCGTTTGCAGCAACCCGCTATACAAAATAATAAAAGGTAATGCATGTCCTGGGATATAATATCAAATTGAAGATATTTACTTCTTACACATGCAGTTGCTACTTGGGCGTTGCTACAAATGGAAAGTTCAAAAAAGAAAAAGTCACATCTGCTATCGTAAAGTTTGGGTTTCAATCGACTCTTACTGTCATTTTCTGTATGTAATACCTAAATATGAGATACATGCTGCGAGTGGAGTATATCATCTATATAGCGGAAAGGAAACAGGAATGCTACCTTCTTTTCATTTTTATTCCTCTTTTCATAAGAAGTCTGTCTCATATTTGAACAGATAAAGGAGAAGTTGTTTCCCGTAAGAATGTTGAGCAAGAAGGTGAACTGTGGTTTATTTTTATCAATAGTACCGCTTAAGTCGACGCTATGGGCCGTCTTGACCTTGTATGCATGATTCGTTCATTGTTGAAGACCCTACATCAACTGCCAAGATGAAGAACAGGAATAAAAGCCCTGTTCATTGATAATTTTCTATGTTTTCTATGTATTGTGTGCGATTTTGTCCCATGTACATTTACTCCATATCCTTTCATTTTCTATGTTAAAAAAAAGTTTAACAAAAGGGAAACGTATGTTTTTAGGTTATTTGTGGCTATTACATTGACGTCTCCATATCTCCTTTCGATCATTTCGATATATAGGTTTTATGTCCACGCTTCTCTTACCAGGATCTGAAAATGCTCTGTTCTACTTTCTGTTTTAAAGAGGTCCTTTTTGACACTTTTGTACTTTTACTCCCACAGTGCGCCAACATTTAGAAAATTCATTTTTATATTTCAAAATGATATACTTTGAAGGTACATTTCCTTGCATACTCAATTTTATCAAAATGGCTGTCGTCGAAAAGACTATCATAGATCGTTGTTAACAATAGATTTGGACCAAACTTTTCTAAATGAAGAGACATTTCATACTGGTACAGTACCATATCGATATATTATACTGATACAGTACCATATCGACATATTAAACTGGTATTGTACCATATCGACATATTATACATAACAAGAATATATCGACATATTATAATGGTACAGTACCATATCGATATATAATACACAACAAGAATATATCGACATATACTGGTACAGTACCATATCGACATATTATACTGATACAGTACCATATCGATATATTATACTGGTACAGTATCATATCGACAAATTATACTGGTACAGTACCATATCGCCATAATAAACTGGTACTGTACCATATCGACATATTATACATAATAAGAATATATCGACATATTATACTGGTATCGACCACATGTATATATATATATATATATATATATATATATATATTATACAATTATAGCTTTGTAGGAGGTCGATACAAGGATATATTGACCTGAAAGAAGTATATTGACTGAGGACGAAGTCCGAGGTCGATATACTTCTTTGGGTCGATATATCCTGTATTGACCTCATAAATAGGCTATAATTGTTATATTATTAATTTCCGACCATATTTGTATCAAAATCGTCATTTGATTTTGTTGTAATTTTATACATATCATATTGTCTCCTAGACAATAACAACAGATTAGTTGTTATTTCATTTACTTTTTTGATATTTTTTTTTACATGTTATGTATTTGAAGATTTTTTTTCTTCAAATAATCGATCATAGATATTTTTTTTTTAACTTTTAACAATATCACGAAATTCATTACATGACGTCACAAAGTATATCGGTTTTTAGATATTCTAAAAATAACAATGCAATATGCTTTTTGCTGTGCAATATGCTTTTTGCTATCCGCCGTTTTCTCTCTACCTTCGAAAATATAGTTTAACATGTGACTATCCCTGAACGAATCAAATTAGTTAAAATATACGAATTAATAATATATTCAAATATAAACTGTCGTGTTGTCATTACTTTTTTATGGTCATGTACTTTTTTTTCCTTTTTATTTGTAAATGAGTAATAATTACGTCGTTAATTTCTCTTAAATGCGAAACTTATAATATATAAATAATTACTAAATTGAGACCATGTTGTCTCACAGATAATATTCTGATGATAATTATAACTAAAATTATCACACTCATTTTGTCATTACGGAGTAACGTTATATTACGTTTTAATGCTATTACTCCTCTACACTGTTGAAAGATAACGTCGTTTTCCCCATCAACTTTTAGGAAAGATCTTACATCGAATGACACCAAACATATACCTGTGGGGAAGGATGCTGGAAATCGATCATATTCTTATCACTCAGATAAATATATTTTACAGAAAGGTTATCTATAATTTAAGCTTCTACAGCAGTGTTACGCAATATTCTGTCAGAAGTAATTACTGTTATTCATATTACTGTATTTATCTTCAATATGTCTCAATTTTCATAAAATACAATGTAGACAACATTTGTATAATAGTTAATGATAAGTTTGTATTATGGACATGTCGCTATTATTCAGTAATGTATCAGCGTTTTTATAATAACATCTCTTTATAACCGAACTGTCAATAAAAAGTGGTATTTGGGTAATAGAATTAAGTGGCTTTAGCTGTATATTAATTAAACAAGCTATTATGGCGTAAAAATGTATGTGTTAAATTACACTACTCTAGAAATTTACTCGAATTTGTTGTCATCAATATCTTCATAATGCTGAGAAATCTACAATTTACACTTCTGTTTATGACTAAAATGAACAATGTGTTTATTTTTATTTTCAGTTAAAACAAGCTGAACATAGAACGACAGTTATAATCAATAAGAACAAAATGGAAAGGGTATCGGTTAAAAATCATAAGCACTGTAAATCTGACTGAAATAACATTTAAACAAGATGTAAGTATGAATAAAATATCAGTGTGCTTGAAAGGCGGAAATGTTGAATTACATTGAAAGTATTCGTTTTATGTAAAACACGAAGTCATGGTGGTGCAACAATATTCATTTCCGGATTATATTTAACATTGGATTGAACACAGTTAGCTATTAGTGGATATAACGATCAACAATAAACGACAAAAGTCGTGAATAATTGCCAAATAAACACTGCATTGTTATATTTCTTAGCATATGAACAGAATCACTCGGGTATTATTGATCTGTCAAAGGATTACTGAGTAGATTGAATGAAATATAACAACCAGTGATCTTCGAATAGATATGTAACTTGTCAATTGATTGGTTAACGCAATCGTCCAATGACCTTTGGAGATACAAATGTAAATATTATTACTAGACATCAACGTTATTTACAAATGATTATTTAAAATGATCATGCATGGCTTTATTAAGTGGAGAAGTCGTCAGCTGATATAACAAGAAGGTTCTGTAGAAATTAAAGAAATATGCCGTAAATTAACTTAGGAATTATAAATAGTATTACAGACAAATATTCTATGCAAATATGAAATAACTTAATGCTTTACAATAGGAATATCATACAGCTTGGCATTTCAAATGGAGAATAGAAAAATAAAATAGGAAATATTATCTCAAAAAGGGACAGAAAGTTTATCATATTGTACAGCTTTGATTCAGGCATGGAATTAACAACATTTTACAATACAACTTTCCAAGAAAATATCACGGAAACACCACATAAAATTGGTGGTCCACAAATCAAAAGCTTGGGACATTTAGTCGGAACTTCCGTTGTATTAGGACTAATGATATTAGCCACCATAATCGGAAATGTTTTTGTGATAGCCGCTATTATTCTGGAGAAAAACTTGCATAATGTTGCTAACTATTTGATATTATCTTTGGCTGTAGCGGACCTGATGGTAGCCACACTAGTGATGCCGTTAAGTGTAGTATCCGAGGTTAGTGAAGTCTGGTTTCTAGGAGGTGAAGTCTGTGATATGTGGATATCCTTTGATGTTTTGTGTTGTACATCTTCTATTTTACATCTTGTTGCAATATCTGTTGACCGATATTGGGCTGTCACCAACATTGACTATATTAGAAATCGAACTGCAAGACGAATTCTGCTGATGATTGCCATGGCATGGACAGTGGGCATGTTTATTTCTATTCCACCTTTGTTTGGTTGGAAGGACGAAACACCTTCGCCTGAATTTACGGGGAAATGTATCATAAGCCAAATAGACAGTTACACCGTGTTTTCAACAATTGGTGCCTTTTACTTGCCGACAGTTGTAATGTTAATTATTTATGTGAAAATTTTCCAAGTAGCAAGATCTCGAATTAGGCGGAAAAACTTTAATAAAAAACAATATGCGGCAAACAAGAATGTTGACGATCTTGCAAAAAGTAGTCTTTTAAAAGCACCGCCATCACCTATCAATGGACATACATGTTCAACAGACATAACGTTGATAAACGAAACATCTTGCAATGGAATGGTTAACGGAAATTCAGACAAGAACGACAACTCAAAGGTTCATTCGAATGCTTTGGTTGAACAGGTTCCAACACCGAAGGGAGATTCTATCGCTGCTAAAGCAAAGCGCGCAAAGGAAAAATTAGAAATGAAACGTGAGAGGAAAGCAGCTCGGACTCTTGGAATAATCACAGGTGCATACATTGTTTGTTGGTTGCCATTTTTTCTGATAGCTTTAATTGGACCTTTAGGACAATATGAATTTCCGCCTGTTTTACATTCGATAGTGCTTTGGTTGGGCTATTTTAATAGTTTGCTAAATCCTATAATTTACACAATTTTTAGTCCTGAGTTTCGACACGCTTTTCATAAAATATTGTTCGGCAAATACTCACAAAAATCGCAGAGATAAAATTCACATTATTTCATTTAATTGAAAATAAATTTATGAACAGTATAGCAAACTTTCGCATTATTTATTCATTATTTATACCTTTTATTTATTATTTTGATGATTTTAATGTTATGTGTTTATGAATTATTCTGATTTAACGATAAATTGATCAAAATATATGCCGTTTCTACAGAGCTTTCTATTTCCAATATGCATAATTGACTTTCATGAAATCAAATAACTTACTAAGATCAAGATATATATATATAACAAGTGTTTCATCAAGTACGCATGTATATTCCACATGCCATATATTCATGCCATATTGTGTTTCATCACGGAGGCATCAAATTAATGTTGTTTGTCGTTATACCATTGATTATTTTAACATTGTATGCATTCATATAGATTTCTGTGAAAGGACAATCCCCCTTAATCCCACTGATCCAGTTACATCAGAATATTTGCGATAAACTAAGTCGTTCATTATATCTTTTTGGTCCATATAGTATAATTTTTTTTTGGAAAATTGTCGTTTCGTCTCATGTGCATACTTTTATCTTTTCTTTTGCGAGTAGAAACTGAAAATATAATGCATTTTGGTATCTGAATATTTAAATTTTGGCCCCTCGATCTTGATTCTTATTATAAGAAATCCTAAGTTACATATATAACAACGGAGAGTCAAATTTAAATCGACAATTTAGATATTAGGTACTGAGAACCCTGAAATCTTGAACCACTTTTTTAAATTTCTGCTTCCTTCATATTCTATTTATTGTGTCTGGTGAATTATATGTCCAGTATTTTTCAGGGTTTCACATGTGTGCCTAATGTCTAGTCAGAATATCTGCAATTACATTTAACCTTTGTTCAAAGAGACAGCATGCTCCCCCTTTTTAATCCAGATTTTAAAAATACGGATAACGATACTATAGAATTATATTATTCAACTCTAGAAAATTTCAATAGCATTATTTTTTTATATAGACCATTCAATTTTGTTTACAAAGTGAACTAAAAAATAGACGATGAAAAAACTTTTAAATTCAAAACAAACTGTTTTTACCTGTTACGTAGGGTATTTGCTTGCAATTGTTGTGTAAAACGTCACTTTCTTCTTATTTTATGATAACAATAGAAATTAAAAATGCTTAAACTTAAAGTAAGATAAAAACTTAAACAACAAAACATTAAAAAAGGATAAAAGTTATCAAAATTGTTGAACAATATACCTCTGCTTTCTGAACAGTTAAATAATTCAAACGAAGCTGAGTCTGAATGTATGTCTCAATGCGAACCCTCCGTGCGACCGGACACATGTTCTTTAAAGAGTGTTCCATGCAACGATTTAGCTGTTGATATATGGTATAGATTCCTGTCAATTGTTGATCAATATGTGTTGCCCTCTTCAATTTCTAGTTTTATTTGTTGTTGGGTTACTTTCTTATTGACATATACCCTGCATCTGCTTTTTTCATACATAGTTCTAACGTCTATGAATAGTATCTTCAGAAATTCAATATAAGCAACTTTTATTTTCCCATTTATATACATGTATACTAAAATTAAGTACATCTGTAGAAGGGTCCAGGAACAGCTGATATCACTCCCAGTATAATCGAACTTATGCTGCCAAAAGTTTTTTTTTATATACTCACTATTATTTAACAGTTTTGATTGGTCCATACACCTGTCTCGTCGCTTTTTACTACCTTTGCGTATTTGGTTTTGTATCTTCTGTCTGGCATATTGTGTACCAATATACCATCAAAGGTCAACCATTTAAACCATAGAGCATACAAGCCCGCCTCCGGGTGCGGGATTTTCTCGCTGTGTTGAAGACCCATTGGTGACCTTCGGCTGTTTTCTACTCGTTGGTCGGGTTGTTGTCTCTTTGACACATTCCCCATTTCTTTTCTCAATTTTAATATTGTTATATACCGGAAAATTATAATTTGTTAAGGAACTTTAAATCATGCAACAGCCATCATTTATTGAAACAAATAAATGTCATATTCTTGATTATTTCCTCGCCGTGATATAACTTTTGTCGCTTAGACACCGTAGAACAAACACCAATCAATCAATCTAAATCATTTAAACATGCTTTCAAAAGGTTGGTTTTGTTAGACCCCTTGTAATAGTCCTTGTCTGTTTATTTTAGTTTTTTGTATGTAAACAGTTTATTTTCTATAGGCTATTCCATTGGACAGATGAGCTTACCGACTTGTATATAAAACGTGTGTGTATGTGATATTTTGTTTTACATAACATATAGACTATCCAACCGCATCCCGTTCTCGAAGAGTACTATTTTAATTACTAGTAATTGGCAGTATTTTATTATTACTAGTAATTGGCAGTATATCATAATTACTAGTAATTGGCAGTATTTTATTATTACTAGTAATTGGCAGTACATCATAATTACTAGTAATTGGCAGTATATTATAATTACTAATTATAATAACTAGTAATTGGCAGTATATTATAATAACTAGTAATTGGCAGTATTTTATAATTACTAGTAATTGGCAGTTATCATAATTACTAATAATTGGCTGTTTATTATAATAACTAGCAGTTTGCAGTGTATTATAATAACTGGTAATTGTGCAGTATATTATAATAACTAGTAATTGTGCAGTAGTATTTAAGGACAGAATAACATATCTATTCACAAAGTAAAAACATATTTTCAGAGAGTAAATATTTTTAACTTTTCTTGTAACCGTTTATAATTTTATTTGAATTGATAGTTCTGTTTACTCTTTCATCACAACAATCCTCAAAATTCCTCAAAGTGTGGAAAGATTGATTGTTAAAAATTGATTTGCTTGCTCAACATTCTGTGGCAAGTATTTTTGTCAAGAATGCAATTGGACCTTTATCCCTTTCCCAAAAAGGATATATCAAGTTTGTAGATTGCCTTTGTGCACATTTGGCATTGATCATGTTTATGTATGTGCTTGCTTCATCTGGTACTTTATATTTACTTTGAAGTTATTAGTTGTTAATAGTTTAAAACAATATGTCATATATTAATTAAATTGAGTTATATATACAATCAATGACAATACAAGTTACACGTTACAAATTATCAATAGGAGAAATAATTTATTAAACATCTATCGATATACATGCGACAGCAGACAGGAACGTGTACCCATTTAAATCAATTTATTAATTTTTCCGATGAAAAGTTAAATACTGAGAGAATTTATAAGGAACAGTACCGATGAGAGGACAGATAGGTGTGACAACTAAATGACGATGCGAGATTATGTTTAAATTACTTAGTACAATGTTCTTATAAAAATACTTGTATATGTAACTTAAGTGAATGATATACGGAAGAAATATAAAGTACCAAATGAATCAAGCATGGAAGGAAATGCAAGGCGTGGTTAAGACTAACATTGTTACAATATACTGCCTACGCTTCCCACGACACACGACTCTTGTATAAGTTACAACGAGTGTATCATTATAAACGGCTTGACGAAGTCAATGATTATTTTCTGGTTCCTCTGCACAGTAAAATACACTGTTGTTCTGCTCAATTTCCGAATATATTTCCCACATCTATTATATTCTTATTTATTAAAAGAAAGATATAAAGCGTGTTTTGAGGCAGTTACATACGAAACCCGAAAGAAGACCTTGCATTATTTTATTCTAAAAATTGTCAGGGTTGCCAATTTTAACATAAAAAATGTAATGACTATTATTGTATAATCTAAAGTTATAAAATATTCAATCATTAATCGGCACGTCTAATAGTTAAGAATCTGCTATATAAATGATTTAAATAAAGACAGAATCAATATTTGTTCACATGTTTTTAAAATATTAGATCAAAATTTAATTATACAATTTGGTTTTATGAAACTTCCGCATACTCTTTTTAAGTCAGCATGTGTTCCTCAAAAGTTAATAAAACTTGGTGAAAAAGTTATCGCTTCTAGAAACAATTTTTTTTAACTAATATTTGTATTTTATGGCAATAACCAAGCTTATACCTTAGTGCTGTCTTGCTTTACCGGCAAATTTCAATTGTATAATCAAGGATGGTTATCCAAGGATTCCTCGACATTAACATTATGTTGAAACAACAGAGACGGGGAAAATTATTTTAATTTTTATCTGACCAGACTCATCACTTGGCGTCCGTCTTTCTTCGTCGCATCTTCCTATTGTCTTTTTGAACAAAAACTGTCAGAGAACTCATTATAGAAGATATTGCCCTTAAATGACGAGTTTTTACCATTTTAGGGGGTATTTGCCCCAAAACTATCGGATATCAAGTAAAAATAGAAGAGCAAAATTTACCAGCAAGACAAAGTCAACATCGCCGAAATCGTCAGTCAACTCCTTACAGAAAATATTGCTCCACGATGGTGATTTTTACCAACTTCTCGTGTTTTGTTTAATATCTTGAATACTTTAAAAGATAAAAAAAGAAACTTACAATATTAAAAACGAGCAGTAGGACAAGGTCTACAAATTTGTCTAAATAGCCTAAATAGTCAGTCAACTCCTGATTATACTTGTTCACCCATTTTCTCATTTTTACATAGTTCTTGCATTTTTGACCATAACTGTAGTAGATAAAGAAAACTGTTATACAGTTAAAATGATCACCAAGACATGATGTGTATGTATATAACAACATGGCCGAAATTCTCACTCCACTCCTTTTAGGATTTGTTGCGCTTAATTGACAATTTTAACCATTTTTGGCATTTTTTATGAAAAAAATGTAGTCGGTAAAGAAAACTGACAAGCAAGACAATTTTTTTTTACTTTTCTTGTATTTTGGGCAAAAACTATAGTAGTAGTAGATAGAGAGAAACTGAAATGAATTATGATTAATCCAAGATCAACAAAAAAAATTTTTTCTTGGTCATGATTTATATTCTAGTCTTTATTATTAAAACTGCAGGTCCAGTTGAGCGACAAAGGCTCTTTAGATCCTCTAGTTTCTATCACACATTAAGTAGATTTATATTCTTAATATAGGCTTATTAACTCCTAAATGCAACTAAGTACTGAAACTGTGTAACTATGTCAAGGTAGGTCCTTCTCATACTACTGTCATTGTGAAATGTGGCATATTCATTATTGTTCAATACAAATTGTTTTATTTTTATATAAATGTAAACTTTGGGTGTAT